AATTTTTAGCATATATAAAAACAAATGACAACAGCACCAAAAAAGAGACAACAAATTCAACATTACTCTCATGGATTCTTTTTTATTTCTTTATTTTCTTTTTGAAGCAGGATCTCTCTCCTGGATGTCCTGGAACTCACTATCTAGACCAGGTGGCCTCGACCTCACACAGATCCACTTGCCTTCACCTCCCAAATGCTGGGATTACAGGTGTGTGCCACCACAGCGAGCTAGGAATCTGACACTACATATAAATCAAAGCAACTATTAACTTTTAAAAAGTTGTAGCACCAACAATCAATAGTTATGGAAATAAATAGAATGATAATGCATGGCCCTAAACCAGACACATGCAGAAAGATGTTTTGGACAGAACCAGTGGAGCTAAAACAACTACCAAGATGGAAGACTCGAACTAACCATGTAATTGCATGAAACATAAAGTCTAGACGGGGGAAATCTATTTATTTATCCAGATCAGATAAACACACAAGGTCTTACTCTGTGTAAAAACACAAGACAATGTCTGAAGAGAGCGATAGAGTAATAAGGCGGGAAAGGCAGTGTTCTTTAAAATGCTCTAGTACCCACGTGACTGCTGAACAGAGGTATTACTAGGACATTAGTATTAATATTAGCATTATGCTATTATGAATAATACAAATGTTGTATCTGTGTGATTAAAAAGCAATCAGTTCTCCAGGCAGACACAACATTCTAATTTAAATGTATGTAACTACAAATCTTCAAAAGTAAGTAAGTTTCAAAACGAAACACAAATGGACAGAAACAGACAAATCCACAGTGGAAGCTGCAGATGGAAGCCGACAGAACGGGACAGAGAGTCATTACGGACAGGGAGAACGTGGGCACGACGTCAGTCAGCTCGACCTCACAGACATTACAGCAGGCCTCATCAAACGACAGCCCAACAACACAGGTTCTGGGCTACCAGACAGCTGAAATACACCTGGCAGACCTGATATGATGCAATGCATGCAATCTGACTACAGGGAAATTAAAACAGAAATTAATAGCAACACTATTTCATAAACCCAATATTTGAAAATTAAACACTTCATTCTTAAAATAATCCATAGACTAAAGAGAGAGTGATAGGAAAAATGAAGTTGCTTTAAATAAAAATAAAAATAAAACATATCAAAATTTGTGGAATAAAGCTAAACAATTAGAAAAAATTAAGACATTAAGTGATTTTACAAGAAAATGAATTCACTTGAATTTTTTTTTTTATTTGTTTGCTTGTTTTACAACAGTGTCTCAATTGTAGCCTGGAACTCATGGTAAGCCTCAGTTTCCCAAGTGCTCATATTACAAGCATGAACTACCTATACCAGACAAAACAGACAGGTTTTAATCCATGACATGTTTTCATACAATGACTAAAGAGAGGAGGAATAAGTAGCTCCAAATCAATTTTTAAAAAAAATCAATAAGCCAGGCGGTGGTGGCGCACAGCTTTAATCCCAGCACTCGGGAGGCAGAGGCAGGAGGATCTCTGGGAGTTTGAGGCCAGCCTGGTCTACAAGAGCTAGTTCCAGGACAGGAACCAAAAGCTACGGAGAAACCCTGTCTCAAAAATCAAAAAAAAAAAATCAATAAAATTGAAACTAGAAATGTGACAAGTCAGAGGAAGCAACAGCTGCTTCCAAAGAAGGACATCTGTGTAGAAAACACTGATGAGTCTCTAGGCACACTGACCAAGGAGGAAGAAAGAAAATCCCAGTCACTCACCAGGGAACAAGAGGACATCATCACAGATCTACAGACGCTGACGAGAGGTAAAGAAATACAGACCACTTTAAGCTCAAAATTGCCAAGTTTTGGATGAAATTTAAAATAAAAACCAAAGTGGAAACATTTCCCACCTCATCTTATAAGAACAAATATTCCCTGACACCAAAATCAAAAAAAAAAAAATGTAAGAAAAAAAAGCCTCAAAGGGCACAGACATTTATAAACTGAGATATGGAATCCAAAACAAAACAGCAACTCAGATATAGCAATGTATTTCAAAATTGTGACAGCTAGGACCACGGGTGACAATGGACATCCTCACACTTTTCCTGGGCCTGACAGGGAAAGCTTGTAGTATTTACAAGGTGAAAGAATCTAGAGTGTTTGAAAATAAAGCAATGTGAAATCCACAACACTTGCATTCTAAGGGGGATAATAAATTCAAAATACTTTCATGATGAAAACTCTCAGCAAACTAGCAATGGAAAGGAACTCTCTTGATCTGATGTCGTTTTCTACATCTTAGCGTGAACACTACACGCTCTCTCTTTAAGACCTAGGAGAAGGTGAAGATGTCCATTGTCACAGGTAGGTCCTAGCCAGTGTAACAATACTGTGGATGAAAGGGGTCTAGAGATTGGAGATCAGGAAACAAAATAGTCTCTTGGCCTAGATTATACATTTATACCCACAAGTAGTCCCAAAGAACCTACCATAAAAACTATTGGAATAAATGACTTTAATAACTAACTTCTCAAGACAAAAGATTCACACACAAACTAAAGTCATGTTTTTAAAGGAGTAATGAACGATTGGAAACTGCAGAAGCACTGTAACAGGACCCACAAATAAATAAATATAAACCATGTTAATGGACTAGAAGAACCAATATTAGTAAGACGATGTTTCTAATTGTGTTTATGAACTCAGGGCAGTCTCTAACAATATGCCACAGCAAAGGAACCATTTTGAGAAAAATAAGTCAGGTCTCCTATCACTTTTTTGGAGTTGACTATAAAGCCCGTTATAACCAAGGCATTGCAGTGTGGGTGGAGACAGGGCATATCAAGGAATGGAACACTACCAAGAGTCTAGGGTATGTCTGCACGAGTGGCCAATGTTCTACCAGGCAACAAAGCAACTCAACAGAAAATGTTCAGCCTTATCAATAAATGGCGCTGGAATACTTGGCCTTCATCTATAAATCCAAAAATAAAAACTTGATCCCTGCACTTCACATCATGTACAAAACTAAAATTTGAAAACCAAGTCTATTGGTGTCTTCCTGGACTCAGAGCTGCTCAAGAGGCCGAAATGAGACCAGGAACCCGAGAGCAACTGGGAGGAAGCAGGGAACCCAGTGGTGGAATGTTTAGCATTTCTGCTGGCTTCAGTCTCCAGTAACATACACACACAACGTACACACACACACACACACACACACACACACATATGCACACACACATGCATACACACACTGCTAAAAGTACAGAAGAGTATGTGTGCCTTGAAAACAGTTTCTTCCTGGCATCTGTGCAACATCCACACACTGTCCACATGTCAGACAACAGAAGCACTCTAGTGGACTCTTGAGAAGAAATGCTTTGAGCAACAATCTAACCACAAAAGAATACAAATCAAGGTGAACAACAATAGCTCCCAACACTCTGAAAGTCTGAAATGCTTTTCTTCAATTCTTATGGCAGTGGGACTGCAAAGGGAAATCATAAAATAGGCACAAAATAATTTTCAAATAGCGCATATCAAATCTAAGGAACACGGCTGAAACAGTGTTAGAACATGACTAGCCTGTGTGAGGTCCTGGGGCTTACCCCGAGCATCATATAAAACTCGGCATGGTGGCCCAAATCTGTAATCCCAGCACTCCGGAGGTGGGTCATCCTTAGCTACACGGTGAGTCTGAAGTGCTTGGACTGCCTGGACCACTTGAGACCTGTTCCATAATTGTCAGACGAGCAGGATGGCTAAATAAGCCAGTGACCCTCTAGGAATTCACCCTATGTGTACACGCCATGAGTAAGATGCACAGTGGCAGAACATAAGCTCACCTATGGGGAACGCGGGTCTTTGCGGGTGTGAAATCAGCTGGATTAGCCAGGTGGACCCTACCTCCAGGGGCAGGTGTCCCAGTGAGAGACAAAGGAAGACCAGGATACAGGGCAGAAGACCATGAGTAGATGGGGGCAGAGATCGCAGCGATTCAGCGACAAGCCCAGCAACACCGGGATTGCTGACAGCCACCAAGGACCAACAGTGAGACCCAGCAGGTGTTCCAGAGCCTCTGTGGCGACAGCCTGCGAGCCTGTGACTTGGCACACCTGACTCATTTACAAGGGACACTCAGGAAGGCATGGCCAGGCAAAGAAGAACCCAAAGGGTAGAGCCAAGTGCCCTCATTTTCAGCCACTGTGTGACAATTTATTACAGACTCCACAGGAAACGAATATGCTCCTCCATGTCATCCCTCCCAGCATTCCCTGTAGTTTAACAGGACTTGAAATCCCAAAAGACCCAGAAAATTCAATATGGCAGAAGCCCACGCTGTTACAGAGGCCTTGAGCTTGTAGGGAATGACCCCTGACACAGCACCAACGGTGTACATACGCTAAAGGAAGGACTTGTTGGGACACCTGAGGAAGGGGTGGACAAGCAGAGAAAAACCCGTAGAGAAATCTTTGCAAACTGGGGTGAGATGCTGCCTGCTCTCAGGCCCGAAAACAAAGGGCAGAGTCCTGTGATGGACACAGCTGGCCAGAGGCAACCTTACATATAGGGGGCCAGAGAAAAGTCCCCTGCTTCCCCGTGAGGAAGTTCAAGGCCGGGATCCTGGAAAAGGGCAGCATGCAGCACAGCGGCGAAGGCAGAGAAGCCGCACAGCAGAAGCACGTGGTGGAGCACTTTTGTGTGAAAGCCAGGCACAAAATGGTCTGCCCAGTGCCACCGTGCCAGCGAGAAGGAAAAGCCGCGTGTTCTGGGCACTAATGACACGTGAACAACGCATGAAGATGACCATGGAAGTGTCATACTGATTTCCACTGTGCATTTGGAAGCTGTTTTCAAAGCAGAAACATTCTATTCACAGTCAAACTACAACCTTTAATTTTTAAAAGTCCACTATAATGGTCTTTACCAGACCTTGTTTATAATAATAGTAAAAGAAATTTAAAGCGATAGCCAGTGCCTGGCTCCTCCCAAAGGGAGGCGAGGCCCAGCGAACTCACCTATCGGGCAAAGCCTGCAGCACCGTGGGCATCAGAACTCCGGAGATGGCCTTGTAGAGGATGGAGTCACACACGCCCACGATGTTCACCACCGTGGAGGAGCCTAGCACAGGCAGCATGTGGGGCGGCATTCCTTGCCAAAAGTGCAGAAGGAAACTCTGAACCTGAATTGACCCAGAGAGAGTGGCGGTCAGACACAGCCTTGCAACACCACCTCCCCAGCACATGCTGCAGCTCCGGAGTCCACTTCCTGGTGGGAACGGGAGCTGTCTCAGCTTGGGAGGATGCTGTCCACACTTGCACATGCCCACTGCTGGACACCTGCCAGCCCTGCAGCCTGGTGACCCCACATCCACAGCGTCTAGGGTGGGGTTTGAGACCAGGAAAGGGGAGCAGAAGAGGGCAGCCCTATGTACACAATAACACCCCTAAGTTGAGAACCCATCGGGAAACTGGGAGCATCCAATGCTGGATTTCTACAGGGCTGACTGGAGCCCTGGGTTAGGCACCGTTCTCCCCGCTCCCCCCCCCCAAAGGCGCTCTCTCCACATACAGCATTTTTCAGGTTCCCATAAACCAGCACTGATTCACTGTGGGACACATAACCTGGGCTCGCTGCTTTGGAACTGGTATTTGCATTTTCACTGTGTATCCCGTTTTCTAATATGGCACTGCTGATGATAACAGAGCCTGGAATCTTTACTTCCACTTACAGAGTCACCAAGTTTGTCACCTTTGGATTGCTGCCGGGCTCTGGACGATGGACTTGGGTGTCAGTGTGTATATAAGGTTTCTTATTACGTGGTAGCTGGGGTCTGGCTTATTCCCTGGCCCATGGCTCTCTCTGCTGCCGCCACTCCATAGCTTCCTGTCTCTGCCTGGTGGTCTGCACCGCCCTGCAGACCCTGCCAGGATCAGGTCCCGGATCCCACCAGTCACTAGACCTCATCTTTCCACTACTTAAACTCTGCCTACGTCACTCCTAAGAGCTGGTAGATTCCGACTCTGTTTTCCTTAGCTCTGCCCCCATTTTCTATAAGCTGCCAGCTTCTAGCAGAACGTATGGAAAAGACCAGCTGCTGTGTAGGGTACCACAAGTCCACTGAGAGATGTCTAGCAGACATCTGTCTGTACGAAGCCTGCTCAAGCCATACAAGGAACCCTCATCAGTCCCCAAGCTCCGGGCAGCAATTGTATCATGTGTTCCATCCACTGTCATCCTCCCTTCCTTCTCTTCCTCTGTCACTGAAAGTCCAGCGGTCCCCACTCCTCTGAGAAGGAAAGGAAGGAGAGAGAGACCCGAGGCCACCAGTGAAGTGGGACACATGAGAGGACAGTGTTCCCACTCAGGACAGAGCTGCTCTGACCCCACCCTGGGCTGGATAGGAGGGGAGGGAGAGGGAAGAGCTGAGGTGGCCGCCTGAGTGGCTGGGCAGAGGATCCCAGCAAGGTTAGACTTGGGAGAAACAGACACACAGCAGGGGATTAAAACTCTGGTTTAGCCGTGTAAATGCAGGACAATCAAATCTGATGCTCGGGACTACGCGTGTGAGTTGGCAGGCCTTTTAAGATGGCTATAGTGATTTCTACCCATTGTTAGGATGAAATAAGATGACATATAAAATGCCTGGCATCGTGTCGGCATTGGATAAATGGAAACTTATCATTAGACAAAAGGAGGAATTCTGGGAAGGACTCCGCAGTCCTTGCGTGCAGTTTCCGTGGAAGAACCAGGCAAATGGCTGGACATGACCACTGCACCCCAGCATCCTGGGCTGTCCATCCAGGCTCCTAAACTTCCACCTGTCTTCCAGGGGCGCACCAGATTTTTAACGTTTATTCCATTTATTTTTATTATTTTGTGTGTACAAGTGTTTGGCCTGCATGTGCATCTGTGTACCACATGAATGCCTGTTGCCCAAGGACGCGGAGAGCCTCCACGTGGGTGCTGGGAAGTGAACTCGGGTCCTTTGCAACAAGTGCTTTTAACCACGAAGTCAACTCCCCAGCTCCCTTTTTTTTTTAAAGAACACCTAAGCAAGGTTATTTTTTAATTGTCTTTCCATGCCCGTGTTTAGTTTACAGCAAACACAGGGATAACATGTAGAAAGACATCTAATGACATGGTTTGAGTTCTTACTTGGCTTGGCATTGGAAAGTGCTCAGTAAAACAACAGTTACCAAAATGTCTATCTCTATTTTGTTTTTGCAGAAACTTGGACACTTTACATACACTATTTAGTATATGCTCCAATTTTGCTATGAGATCACCGACCAATTTTTTTGGCTTTGTGGACACAAGGAACTTAGTGTCCTTCCGGTCAAGCAGGTGCCTCGATTCTCTTTGGCTTTTCCCTCTGTTCTTTCCTTGAATGGAATATCCTAAAGCAGAACTAGCATGGACTTCTCGCACTCAGAGATGGCGCTGCTGATGGGGTTGGGAGGAAATGGAGATCCTCTAGGATGAGGAGGGCAATAACCCCAAAACCAGTAAGGATGATCTCTCAGAATCTCCAGATGGCCCTCCTAATGTGTCACCATCTAGTCAAATCAAGGGAAATTCAATGCCGCCTGATCTGCACAATGACCTCTGTGAGACAGGGAAAAGGGCGGTGCCTGCCTGGTAGCATGGCTGTGAAGGGTGGGTGGGCCGATGGCTGCCAGGGGCTTCTAGACACCAGGCCCTGTACCTGGTGGGAGTTAAAGTAGGAGCGGTGTGAAGTACAATACTGTAACAGAGCATTCGCGGCATAGCCATGTTGACCTACCTCATCAAAGTTGGCTCTTATGACAGTGTCCAGTATTCTCTGACAGTGTGTTCTGTACATCATAATGAAGGTAGACACCTGCGGGGTGAGTGAAGGGTCAGTGAATAAGGAGACATTCGTACACAGTGGGGCTGCCCCGGGGATTGCAGCCTTGATACCATTTGTTCCATTGGAGGGATGGACTTCACCCAACAGCCACACATCCTGAAAGGCCTGAGGTGGGAGGGGGATGATTGACACGCCTTGGCTCCCGGCTCTGTGCTCATGTGGCACCCAAACGCTACCCTGCAGTACCAAAGCACTGGTTTTACTCTGCCCCCATCTTCCACCCTGAGACTCTGGGCTCCAGGAAGATCAAACTAACATGGTCTTCACACTCGTGTGTCCAATACACTGTAGAGCGCTTAGCACATGACACAGTAGGGCGGGGGGGGGGGGAGCTCAACTCTCCTTGTGGCTATAACACTGAAAAAAATAGACCCCAAGGCATCATTTGTATATGTGCTTCTGCAAAAAAGCATCGTAGACATTTGGGAATTCTTTGAACTCTATCAGAGACAGAGAGAGAAGAAAGGAGGAAGAGAGAGGGGGAGGGAAGGAGAGAGGGAGGGAGGGAGGGAGGGAGGGAGGGAGGGAGGGAGGGAGGGAGGGAGGGAGGATAGTCATCCCTAGCAATCACTTTCTATGAAGTTACCTTCTCCTCAGGAAGACTGGCTGGCAGGTTCAGGTCTTTGACATTTGGAAAGTCTGGCAGCAACGTCCCAAGCTTGGACCGGGGAGAATACGCCACAGTCTGTTTGGTCACTTCTCGCTTGCCTGTCTCACTCACCCAGGCAGCTCCTTTCTTCGAATACATTACATCATAATACTGGGAGCTTTCCTTCACTGCTATCCCATAGTAATGGTACCTGGGCCGCCGAGAAAGAGACAGATGGGGGAGTACACGGATCATTATTAGTTGGGGGTTTCCTGGGTTGGAGAATGTTGCTCAAAACCAAGGATGGCTGGACACATCCAACCCAGGGCTGAAAGAGTTAACTCTTCTGTAAGGCTTGACATCCCTGAAATCTACAATTAAGCCAAAGTTCCACGTTGCCAGCCATCAATCAGGCAGGTAAAAATAACTGAAATTGCCTCCTACAGAAAATGTTAAGTCAAATACTTTGCAAAGCAGAAAAGGGAAGAGAAATTTTCCATTAATACCTGATCTCTAATGTCTACCAAATACCTTCCCAAGGGTACCTAACACCTCAGTGTCCCCTCTCTGTGGGGATCCAGAGCAGAATGTGCTCATGTATCCCCAAGAAAAATGTACCTGGCCATGATTATCTTCTTCAGTGAAGGCTAGTCTCAGGGACCTACGATTTGTTCATTCTTATTTTATTATTGTTGATTTGAGACTAGGTTTGACTGTGCATCCCTGACTGGCCTGGAACTTGCTATTTAGGCTAGGCTGGCCTCAAACTCTCAGACAGCCACAGAGATTCTGCCTCTGAGTACTAGGATTAAAGGCTGCAGTTTTAAGAAGATACATTCAGTGTCTGGTGTGACCCTGAATGCCAAAGACCAGAACCTTTCCTTAACTCACAAAAGGCATAATCACAGACACACTTTTAGTTACGACTAAGGAGGGACAGAAGGAGGCTGCCTTTGCTGTTGATGGAGGTGGCGGGGTTTTAGGGTTTTGATTTATCTTTCTGTACTGAGCACTTAGGTTCTGAACACTTCGCAAAGTACTTTATTCTCATTAATTTGAAAATAACCTTCTTCTGAAATGAGGATTGCTGCGATCATCCTAAAGATGAGAAAAAAATGAAAAAAAAATGAAACGGCAAGCGATTTGCTCAAGGGCGTAGGGCAATTTCAGGCAAGGACAGGCTGTGGGCCAGTCTGTTTGCCTACACAGCCTCTGTGTGCCACTAACGGCGAACAGGGTGTGCCTCAGAATTACTTCTGGAGCTTAACAGACATGCAGGTTCCTAGACCCCTTCCCAGAACCCACTGATTCAGAACATTTGAGAATGGGGCCCACGAACCATCTGCCCACCAGCTTGAGGGCTACGGAGTCATTTCACAAACTCCCCACGAGGCTAGGAAGAACTCACACTTTATAGTTTACAAACAAGGAAGCTAAGGTCTAGAGAATTTACCACCCAGGTGAGCGGGCAGCAGAGGCAGGCTTTGCACCTCTGAGTCAGTGATTCCCACGCTTTATTAACACTAAGAATCACCCACAGAGCACACGGCAGCATCCTGACCCCCAAGATTCCGAGTTAGTGGTCTAGGGTGGAGTCTCGCAGTGCAGTGGTAAGGCTAGGGTAACCGGGGACCTCGTTTTCAGAGACACTGGTCAATGCATCAGCTACTCTTCTCTCTGCACAGACACGTGGCGATGGGTCCAGGAAAGCACTTTGAGTCCTGGGAGGTTTCACTGGGAGGGAGAAAGGGGGGCACTGTAACCTTCCCTCTCACAGCCCCCTTCCTGCTGGTACCATTCTGTGAAATTTCTGCCCAGAGGGCAGCTTGCCTCCATCTGCATGCCTCCTGGGATGAAGTACTCAGGCCCTCCGAAGGCAGCCCAGCTCATTTTCAGCCGATGGCGTTACCACAAAGTTCTTTGTGTTGAGCTAATATCGACCGTCTGGGTCTTCTACTCCCCAACTGTCACATAACTGCCTTTCCTCTGTGGGCCCCTGCGGGGGAGGGGCTGGCCCCAGTGACTCCAGAGGTACCTTCTGGAGAGGAGACAGTTGTAGCATACTGCCTTAGCTTTAAAATGTTCCTTAGAACTGCTTGAAGCCAAGGTAGTCATATCTTAATATGGAATTATGGGATATTTACAACATTATAAGAATAGCTAACTTCTTGATTAACCACGCATGTTGTTGAGATCATAAATTACAGTACAGTTACTGTTCTGGTCTTGTCCCCTCTTGGTTTTGCTAGTTCTGGTCTGAAGGGAGTATTATCGGTCCTCAGTAGCCATGCCTATGTTTGGTCTATCAAAGCGGGTTTGCTGAGAGATTTGGGGAGGCCATGCTGCAGCAGGAGACTCTTTTGCAGCCTGAAGGACCTTGCTGCCTTTAGATTGGCAGAGAAGGTGAACAACATGGAAGGATCCTTAAGGAAGTAGTAGAACAGGGCTCTGAGCACGCAAAGCTTCAAACACGGGGGCTGCCCATTCTGCTAACGCATAGGTTAAAGGAAAAGAGAAGGGCAAAGAGAAAAACATGCTCTCAGTAGGACCATTCTCCAAGTGCACGCAGGGCGGGAAACACGTATGTTCTGTTCCTGCCCTTTCTGGTTTTCCCTTATCAACTCTCCTACTCCTTAGAAATTCAAGTGTGCACTGGAGCCAGCGGTTTCCAAAGACCATCCAGTCGGCATCCTTTTCATCAACCCTCCCACCCCCACCTTGAAAATGTCCTGCTGTGTGCCTCAGGCTTGGCCTTTAAATTCATGTGGTCTTCAACTTCTGCCTCCTGCCTCCGACTCCGAGGTCCTAGGATGCTGGGCAGAACCACCATGTAAGGTTCAAATCTGGCTCAACCAAGATTCTGAATTGTTGACTTAGAGCTCACCAACGAACAATTATCAAAGAATCTGATTTTTGTACTCTGTCCTTACTGAAGTTGCAACCTTATTTTTACCAGAAGGTTTCTTTATAAATGAAGTTAGGAAGTTTGTTCTTCAATGTAGTCACCCTGGGAAATAAATCATTGAGAAATGATCTTAAGATTTCCTTAGTTAATAAAAAATTTTCTGGGCATTCCTTTGGGATTTCTCCTAAGAGCTTCTGATACACACACACACACACACACACACACACACAGGCAGAGAGAGAAAGACAGAGAAACACATGCGCATAGACAAACAGACATTTACGCAGAGACATACACATAAACACAAGCAGGCTTACGTACAGATGCACACATAAACGCAGACGGACAAACCACACACACGCATGCTCACCTATTCTCATTTTCAGACTTTACCAAAAAAAGGGTTTTCCCAAATTTGATAATCTGTTCCCCCCTCCCCTCCCAAAGCCAACTCTTCATTGGAGGATAAGAATGTCCTGCCCAAAGCCAGTGGTGGTGGCACAGGCCTGTGATCACCGTGGTAGGAGGATCAGGAGTTCAAGGCCTTCTTCTGCTGTATATCCAGTCTGAAGCCAGCCTGGGCTATCGAAAACCTTATCTCATCATAAAAACCAAATCAAATGAAAATAAAAACCTAGGGTGTACAGCTCAGAGGCCATTGTGAGTTTCTCAGGATAACCATGTGGGGTGTGCCTTTGAACACCCCCCCCCCCCAAAGACAAGACTTTTAGTCTTATATTGTGATTTAAGGTTTTGATGTTTGATAGCTCATTGTGCTGCCTTGCTGGGGTGGTCAAAGGTCTAGACCGCTACCTGAGAAGAAGGCACCCTCTAGTGGAGCTGCTGTGCACCTTAGCATAAGGAAGGTTCTTTGAAGTCTTCGAGCACAAGAAGTTGTTGAACTGGGGCTGGCCAAACTTGTGTGGCCACCTTCCTCTCCCAAGGAACACTTCCTGACGCTGAAAGTTTCCAAAATATCTTTAGAGGTGAATCCTGTGTATCTTTGATGGAGCAGGACAGGTTGGGTCCCCCTTTCTGGTACACACCTGGGAGACAGGTGTCCTCATGGCCCTAAGCGACAGTTCCTCCAGAAGGCCTCTCCATACCCTGCCCCCTTCTCTTTCTCTACTATGGCCTGAGGTCTCCACGTTGGTCTTACGTATCAGAATGTTCCTGGCAAGCCACGTATAATGAGACCTGTCATCTCACGATGTGAGAGACTCAGGCAAGAGGACCACGGTGAGCTGGAGTTTTCAGAGTAAACTGTCTCGGACAAGGGAAGTGAAGCAAACGTTCTCAGGCTGGCTGAAAAGGTGAAGGCAGGAGGAGCCTCCGGCCTCTCCCCATGTTCTTGGTGGAGACGGTTTGTGTCTGTGGCCCACTCTGTACATCAGAGCAGAGGTCTCTCAACTGACAGTCCGTACAACCTGGGGACAGTCTAAGAAGTCACAGGACTTCTTGAAAATATGCAGAGGAGATTGCTTTACAGAGAACACTTGGGGACAGGCTGGCAAGGGTCAGACGGTAACAAGCAACTGGGCCAAAAGTCCCAGGCTTTTGGAAGGCCAGCCTCTCCTCCACTTAGGCTCAGATCTCCCGCCAAGGCCGAGATTCAAGCTCCAGAGGAGAGGTCTGGGGTCTTCCCTCAAGGCCCAGGGGGTTGTTTGGTGCTTACTTTGACTGTCCTCGGGTCCCGAGTCTTCTGGTGGTTAGCTGAGGAAACTGCTGCCTTATGATCTGTAAGACAACGTGAGAGCCAGTTATCCATCAGGAAAAGGGGGGAGGGCTGGTGTGTGTGTGTGTGTGTGTGTGTGTTTATGACAACACAAGAGCCAGTGATCCATCAGGAAAAGGGGGGAGGGCTGGTGTGTGTGTGTGTCTAAGACAACATGAGAACCAGTTACGCATCAGGAAAAAGGTGGTGGTGGTGGTGGTATGACCGAAGGCAAGGAAACAGACCCTGGTGCACTAACTTGTTGGGTCTTTGGGCACCCTAGAGAGAACTCTGGTGTGTGTGGGGAGCAGGTGGCCAGTGCTTTGATGGTGGGGCTCTGATCCTGAAGGGATATCACTGGGCTGTGGTGCTTTACTCCCGGTATTCACAGCCAGGAGAAGCCAGCCTGGTCTAAAGTATACCAGTCCCTCTGGCGCCTGCCATCATAGCTGGAACCAAACCCAACTTCAGCCCTGTAACTGGGCCTTGTGTACCATCCCTCCTTCATCCCTACAAGCTGGTCCCTTTCCTCCCCACCTTTCCCTACAAGAATTCAAGGTCACCCCCATTTCACAGGCTTCTGAGCCAGATCTCCATGCTCAGAGGCCTCCTGGACCAACCACTGTCCGGTAGCTCAGGCAGCCTCTTGACATCACCTGGTTCTACTTTTTGTCTTTTGACTTGGTCTCACCTGAGAGCATCCGGGCCTTCCTCACTGAGTGCTAATCGGGTCTCTTGCTTCTTGAATGTAGGGTGTGTGAAAGCAAAGACCTCGCTTAGGGCTTGGCACATAGGGAAGCTTGGTCTTGCTGTGGACTGAGAAGATAAGGCTCTTGTTCCTGTCCTTCACCTCTCTGTAGAGGAGAGGACTACTATGGCCCGGGAAAACCACATTCCTGAAAGGAGTCTGGAGAGGAGGCCATCGGCCAAGGTAGGCACACGCCGACAGGCCTCCTTTCTTGGTGTTTCCTGATGACGTTTTAGGAGATGTGACATGATGGAAAGTTTGTGTGCCTGAGTTTGGGAAATTAAAGAACCTGAATTATATCTTAACCTGGCCATTTGTAAGCTAGATGCCTTTGTGTTCAAATGGCATGCTTTCCCTATCTAGAAAACAGAACTGGGGGGCTGGAGAGATGGCTCAGCAGTTAACAGCAGGCGCTGTTCTTGCTTCCCAGCACCCACATCCGGCAGCTCACAACTACCTGCAACTCCAACTCCAAGGAAACCAACGCCCCCTTCTGGCCTCTTCCGTCTCCTGCACTCATGTGCACATTCCCACACACAGACACATATGCATACACATAATTAAAAATACAATCTTTCAAATAAAAATAGTAATAACCTCTACCTTAAAGAATCCTTGTGAAACTCAGGGGGGTGGGGGGAGGGGGAGTGTTACACATATGTAGAGTCCAGAGCTTAGCGAGCACGTAGTGTGCTTCAGAACCTCCTGGCGGCTCCATGCCTTCCTCGGAGGCTCTCCTTCTTACTCTCGCTCGGAACCCCAGGCACTCTTCCTTCTGGCTAAGTCCTGAGCAAATGTCCATGGTAGAGAGATGCTGAGCCTGCTTCCCCGCGAGGTAAGACTCTTTTCATCACAATGGCTTCCTTTTCTCCCCCATGCCAGTGCTTCCACCGACTTAACCCATCCGTGTGATAAACAGGCACCGGTGCCTGCTCGCTGTTAGGGTTTGACAAAGTCAAGCTCTCTGTGCCTTGGTTTCCTTCTGTGACGTCTGAGGACTCCGGGAGTCATGTCGTCTGCCCTTAACTGGAGCAACGAGTGGTGCTGGGGTTGACTTCACTAGCACCAGTTCCGGGGGACAGAAGGAAGCAGACAGATGGTGAGAAACTGAGATCTTAGAGGGGCAGAGTGAAGACTGCCCGCTGTGGCACACTGGGGAGCCTTCCATGGGGAGAACAGACAGGCAGCCTTGCCTCATCTCGAGGTGAGGGAGAGAAGAGATAGCTCACATGGTCCCCAGAGAATCCAGTGCAAGAATATCATGAAACCACATGGGGAGGGAAATGAGACTTTATAAACGTGATTCTGTGGGCTCATGGGTGTGGCTCACTGGGCCAAGTGCTTGAGATGCTCAAGCTGAGTTCAGATCCACAACACCCATGTAAAATGCTATGCGCGGGTGGCACGCAAGTGCCTATAATCCCGGTGTTAGGGATATGGAGGTAAAGGATTTGGGGGCCTTGGCAGCCTAACTGGAGACCCCTAGATCCCAGAGAAAAACCTATCCGAAAAGATAAAGTGGAGAATGATGGGTAAGACACTCGACAAGGATCTCTGTCTTCTACACACTTGCGTGTAAACACACATGAGAAACAGTGATACTAAAGATGACCCAATTGGTCTCTGAACTACACATGGTGCCACTTTCATAGTCATGTGTCCCCTGGGGTTGCCACGTCCTGTGTAAAATGCAGTATCGGAGTTTGGGTCAGTGACCTCCCTGCCCTGCGGTGCAGGCTAAGTCTACACCAAGGTCTAACGGCCTTGTTCCCTTACATTGGCGTCAGCCTGTGGCCAGCCCCTCCAGAGGCTCCTCGCCTGATCAGCTGCAGAGGAAGGTCCAGAGCAGATACTGCCAAGGGTTAAGGATGAACACCAGCGATAGCCCAGGACAAGAGGAGCATAAATGCTGAGTCAAGAGTTCATGCTGGCTGAAAGAGGGTCATGATTTGGGTTCTGATTTCCTAACCACCCGCGCAAACAAGATAACAATAGTGACAGAGGAGTCCCAGCAATCCTTCAGGACACACCAGTTTCTCAGAAGAAGCATGGCCTCTCTTGTGTTTAGCCCTGGGAAATTTCTCCTGTGCAGATGGGTTCAGCAGTGAAGTGCTCTATGAGCCTTCTATAGCAGATTTTATGAAAAAGGTAACACTTGGTGCTGTCAAAACTGTAGTAAAGCCGGGCGGGGGTGGCGCACGCCTTTAATCCCAGCACTCGGGAGGCAGAGGCAGGCGGATCTCTGTGAGTTCGAGGCCAGCCTGGTCTACAAGAGCTAGTTCCAGGACAGGCTCCAAAACCACAGAGAAACCCTGTCTCGAAAAACCAAAAAAAAAAAAAAAAACCTGTAGTAAAAGACCAGCAAGATGGATAAACATACTTGCCTCAGCCTGGTGACACTCAGGTTCCATCCCCAGGACCCCCAGTGGAAGGAGCAAGCTGCATTCTGGCCTCCATATGTGTGCTATGGCATGTATATGTGTGTATACATGTGTATATGAGCATATATACGCTCATGTGCATACACACTAAACAAACGTAATAAAAAATTGAAATCTATAGTACAACTAGAATCTTCCGATTCCCAGCGACCCGATTTGTACAGCTGTTCCTCCGGAACAGTTTTACAATATATGTCAGGGGCCACGGATACTCAAACTTTCTGATCTACAAAATCTAAGAAAGTTTCCTAAAGTGAGAACACAGAAGCTGTGGGTCTTCTAATAAGAGAAAAAATAGAAACACCATGAATAGCCCAGGGCAGGGGACTGGCTAAGTACATGCTGTGTATACATTCAATAGTACTCACATCGCCATAAAAAACGGTCCCAAAGCCTTTTGATATATCATGATGTCAAAACAGCTTGGATTGGATATCAGGTAGACGCACACGTTAAACTCTAGCTATAATTTTTGCTTGTAAAGCTGTGCGAATGAGCAGATTATGTGGAGAACTAAACTGGGAATTCTCCAGGGTGGTTGGGTTGTGGGTAGGACAAAAACTGTGATCCCCGCTCTCCTCAACAAACTGTGCATTAGAAGTCATCCTGATTGACAACATTGAGGATAACCTCACAAGACGCATCCCAAATCAACCAGAATGTTACAGCGTGGTGTTTTCTTTCTCTTTAACAACGTAAACCATTTTCTGTTCCCTGTAAATCATCTCCGATAATAAAAGAAACCAGCGCTGTTTTGTTTGGTTGCTAAGTCTCATTATCACTTGATTTAGAAGGCTGGCTGGGTTCTGAAGCCCTGTTCTGTTTATGTCCATGGTATCCCACACAACCTCCGCAGAGCAAATAGGCAAACCGTTGGCTGGATAAACAGGGCCACAGGCTCAACTACAGACAAGCCACAGGCCACTGGGACATAGGGTCAGGCTTCCCGGAGTCATCTGTTCTACCTCCGTGAGTCAATATGAGTTACAATCCAGGTCCTTGTCATTCTCTGTCTGGGAATTCACTGACCAATCTGACCTATGATCCTCTCCTTTGCCAGCAGTTTGGCATAAACTGTATGTTGGGGTGGTGCCTTTACCATCTTTGTGACCAGTGTCACCGCCTGCTAATTTCCCTAAGACAGCAGGGCGTCCTCACTGTCCCCCAACTCCATCCCCTAGGGACCAGCTGCGTCTCTATGCTCCTTCCAACTCTGCTCTAGCCATGTTTTCTCAGGAGGCCCTGCCTCCAGTCCAGCCTCCTTAACAGGGGCCATCTAAAAGGCAAATGTGGTCATTGCATTTTGTCATTGGAAATGCTAGGGACCTTCTTCTTCCCCGTGTCCATTCCTTCTATCCTCATGCCTCTCCCCCAAGTGTCAAACTGATATCTTCCTTTTCTTTGTCATTACAGACAGACAAGCAGACAGAGATATAAACATATGCACAAATATACACATATAACCTGTTGAATTCAGTTTGGGTTTTTTGTATGTATATGGATTTAGGGTTGACCACTTTGTATTAGATAACCAAATCGGGGGCTCATGCTCAGGAAAGGGTAATGTTCCCTCTCTCTGCAGTCACTAGTGGCTGCAGTTCTTTGGAGGGTTGGGCCCCACGATCTCCCCCATTCCGACGGTCATCGCCCAGGTGGTGTTTTTGCAGTCGTTTTAGGAGAGACGTCAGTCTCTCAGAAGACTTCCTGCCATTCTGGCTCTCATGATCTTTCTGCCCCACACATTTTTATCTTATAGTTCCTTTTCCCCTTTCTGTGACTAAAATACAGGACACCAAACAATGTGAGCAGGGTAGGGTTTATTTGGTTTATAGTTTGAGGGGATATAGGGCATCGTGGCAAGAAAGGTATGATGGAAGCAGGAAGCAGCTGATTATGGCTCCAGTGGTCAGGAAGAGAGTGAACAGGAAGTGGGGTCAGTCAATAAAATCTCAAGAGGTTCCCTTCCTTAGTGACCCACTTCCTTCACTAAGGTTCCACAGCCCTCTCCCAACGGAGCTAAACGTAAAGCAGGCCAAGTGTTCAAACACAACACCTTCCCTTCTTCAGGTTGTCCAGTTGCGATGAAAAAGTAACGGATGCACTTTCTCGTGAAGCACTGGGTATCCCCACCTGCTCCCCTACTGAAGTGATTGGTACGCTGGGACTAAACAGCGGGGCTTGGTGTTGTGCTCACTCGGCCCCAAGCTTGGACTGGGTGCCATTAGTCACTTCACAAACAGCACCTCTGCAGTCGGCACAATGCCAGCGCTGAGCTACTCCCCGACTCTGGAACTGGGCATCCTACCAGTGACATTCATGCACGAGACCTGAGACATGCGCACTCTGATCAACCATCCCACCAATCACATCCGCTCACCAGACACAGACCTGAGACATGCACACTCTGGACTCAACGCCCCAGCTCAACCACATTCCTTCATGAACTAGAGCATCCCCAGGCTCTCATGCCTTCCTTTAACGCCGGCTTTGGCCTCTTTCTCTTGCTTCCGCTTGTTCCCACTACCTGTGTTTGAGGGACCAGTGATTTCTTGATCCCATCCCCTCTTCAGTTACGATTTCTCCTCTGATCGCCTCACTCTTACCCTCTCGGAAAAGCTCTCGTGGCTTCTGCCGTGAACAATACCCATCTTTCCCTGCCCTAAGAGGTTACAGAAAATGGGGAAAAGTCAAGGGGATGATGATGCCAGCGGATGGCCTAACAACTCAGAATCCATTCCCATCCAGAAAAGCGGAAATCTGATGATTAAATGCTTCTGTTTGATAAAAATACAGAAGTCACTAACAGAATTAGCAGAAGTCATTCTGGCCACACACACACACACACACACACACACACACACACACACTGGCCCTCTGACATTCCCCCAGGACCACCTGTCTCAGCAGAAGCTCAAGTTCCATTCTCTGCTTCATCTTCCTTCTCTAAACTTCCTCATGTGAACCGCGGTTCTGCCTACTTTAGATTGTTCCCAGTGGCATTCTCTGAGTGCGCCTCAGGTGGCCTCCCCTGTGCCCTCTGCCTTCTTGACCTTCACACTGCTGCGTGCTCAGCCTCAGAATATGTATCACTCCTCTGAGATCGTCCCAGTTCTCTGTTGGGGGCAGAATCTTCTCTCTCCAAGCCACACATGTACCTGTCTCATATTACCGCAACATGCGGGCTTCCTTCCGTTTCGAATGTATCGTGATCCATCTCTGTCCATCTCACTCTGCCGGGATCACAGCTGCAGTGATCTCACTGTCCTGCGTCCAGCCATGCTCCACCATGACTTTTCCACGGCACCTCTGGACAACGTCCAGCCCTACTATGTTCCACCGGATGGAGCCTGTCTTCATTCCCGTCACCTCTCCTGAGCCTGTGCTCTGGCCATTGGGAACTGGTGCCAAGTTACACGGTCACTGCTTTTTCCCGCTGGACTTTGCCATGGCTGTTCTCCTGGTCCAGCACCTTCCTCCATGCCTTTTGTCTGCTTGATACTCATGTACCCTTCAGATCTCAGCTTTGACCTTGTTTCTCCTCAGAAATCCTCCCTGGAGACACTTGATTGGTGGCTACAATTAAATGATTGCTTTTAAACTGGCCAATTAAAATGTACTGTGTTTATGACGTGCAATATGGTGGTGGTGGTGGTGGTTTGAATGACAATGACCCCCATAGGCGTGAATATTTGAATGCTTCAATTCAAGTGGCAATATTCGAAAGGATTAGAAGGATAAGGAGGTGTGGCTTGTTGGAGGAAGTGTGTCACCAAGAGCAGGCTTTGAGATTTCAAAGGCTCAGACTGGCCCAGTCTCTCTCCTTTCCTCGCTCTCTTTCCCTCTGCCTGTGGATCAGGATGTAGCTCTCAACTACTTCTCCAGCACCATGCCTGCCATGCCTGCAACCACGCTCCCTGCATGATGATAATGGACTAAACCTCTAAGACTGTAAGCCAGCTGCTCCCAGGGAAATGCTTTCTTTTGTTGCAGTGGTTGTGGTGCCTCTTCACAGCAACGGAACACGGAGACAAGACATTATGAAGTGTGCATCATGAAACAGACAGGTTAGGCTGATCAGGAGAAGGATATTCTGAAGTGTGCATCATGAAACAGACAGGTTAGGCTGATCAGGAGAAGCATTGCCTCCCACACTTGCCTCTTCTTGTGTGTGCAGCGAGGACACTTAACACTCTCATGGCAATTTTCAGGAACAGAATGCATTATTTACCTTTTTTTAAAAATATTTATTTATTTATTTGTTATGTATACAATAGCCTATCTGTGTGTATGCCTGCAGGCCAGAAAAGGGCACCAGACCCCATTACAAATGGTTGTGAGCCACCATGTGGTTGCTGGGAATTGAACTCAGGACCTTTGGAAGAGCAGGCAATGCTCTTAACCACTGAACCATCTCTCCAGCCCGCGCGCGTTATTTACCTTTATCACCGTGATGTATAAAAGACATCTTGAATTTATTCTCCCTAAGTAAAAATTTGCAGCTGCTGACTAGTGTCTTTCCCAAATCCTGACCTCATTTATCCAGTGCTAGGACAAAACCCAGGGTTCCTACAAGCGAGGCAAGTGATCTGCTTTTGAGTTACATCCCCGGCACTGGCATTCTGTAGGATCTTCATAAGCAAATGACCAGCTCCTATCAGTCCCCACCTGGGGCTCTAAGACTCTAGGGGGCTGAATCTTCAGCCTCATTTTCTACGGCTCCTCCTGATGCTTGGCAGTGTGTGGTGTTAATAACTATCAGGTTGAGTAGTAGGACGTTATCTTAGACTCAACAGCTTTCCTGGAGCACTGGCTAGAATCCAGACATTGTGTGAGGCCCTGTGGGGTATGACAGTGAGCAAAATAGAAACTGTCTCTGTTCAGATGCGTACATGTCTACATGAAAAGGCCAAAATGGAGAAAATAAAACACAAAGCATGCTATTTCAAACCAAAGACAAAAGTGCAGAGTGAGGGGCTGGGGATGTGGAAATGGGAGGGGTGGGGGTGGGGATGTAGAAGTGGGAGGGGCTGGGGAA